GATTAGTTTGTGAATATATTGTGAATATTCGATTCAATTTTATTTATATAGCGTGAATTCACAACATATGACATCTCACATTGCTTAACATGTTAAGGTGAAGACCTTGTGAATATTAAACAGAGAACCCAGCGATCCACAGTCGCCTTCAGATTGCCTATGAACAAGTGGTCAGCGATGGTGGGAAGAAACCACACCAAAAAAACCCTAGTAGGGAGGAGGGGATAAAACCTCTGACAGAACCAGGCTCAGGGAAGGCGGCCATCTGCCTCCAGCGGTCAGAGTGAGAGTGAGGGGGTGGGGATAGCAGAACAGCAGATGGAGAGCAGACAAACAATAAATATCATGTGTATAACAAGTCTAACATTTAATAGCTGAGTATGACTGATTAAAAGTACAGTCCAATTAAAATAATAGTTGCAGATGTGTCAAACATCATAGAGATTAATCTGAAATGTTGTGCACGATGCTGTTAATGTGAGGCTGTTGGTCCAACAAAACATCTGAACAGTGTTGGCAGAAGTAGCTGCAGTGGTAAAGATTAACAGAAAATACAACAACATAGGAGTGGAGTCTGAGAAGTTCATTCATCAGAGACTCGTGGTTGAATTTTACTATGATGAACAGATTTTCAGCCTCAGGTTGCTCTGACATGGAGGTAAAATGCTTGTGTTCGGTTGCTTTGTCATCATATGTTTAAAAAGCAAGACACCCTTCACATGCAACTCGCCACAGTTTTTGAAGTAACTCCAGATATGTGCAGTGTAGTTTAAGATATCAGTAATCACACCTGGACTAGACAGAACTCCAGTCTGATTCTAGGTATTAGAGAAGGACAACTGGAACTACAAATAGTTAAACTGTGGATGGCTGAAAGTGGACGTACAANCTCTAAGTGTAGCCCTGTGATAGACTGGTTACCTGTCCAGGTGAACCTGCCTTCACCCTGAGTCAGCTGGGATAGACTCCAGCCCCCCATGACCCTAATGAGGATTAAGGTGTAGAGATGATGGATGGATGATTAGGTTGAAGAATATCTTGATATGCTCATTTTCTGGCTTCTCATCAGGCACAAATCTGACAATGACCAACATAATGTGTCTTACAGAGGTGCCAGATGGTGCTCCTTGGCACAGATTTTCCACCATTTTTCAAAAAGCTATTCCCTCATTTGTTGACGGTGGTGGAGAGCGCTGTTCAAATATAAACTGTTTCCATAGATACGTAGCTCCCATAGGTGATCAACTGGGTTGAGATCTGGTGGTTGTGAAGGCTGTAGCACATGATTCACATCATTCCATCAAACCACTCAGTGAGCCCTCGTGTCCTATGGATGGAGACATCATCATCCTGGAGGTAAGCGCTCCCATCAGGACGGAGAAGCTTCATCATGGGATAAAGGTGATCACTCAGAACAACCTTGAACTGATTTGCACTGACTGTTACCTCGAAGGTGACAAACCATGTCAGCAAAATGCCAAAATAACTAAACTAACAGCACTGCAGGGCTTCAGCCCAGTTTTGTGATAAAGTGCTCAGGCTTCCCCGTTTTTTGCACTTTGCAGAGCAAAACTGTGAAAAGAGAAGTAGGCCACTTAAGATAGAAAAGAGGTGTTCAGGACCTTAGCAAGGCACCTGGTCCACCCCCATTGTGGAGCCCACAGCAGTCCAGCCTCATACTGGCTCCCTTTCTACTCCCACTCCAGGCTTGGAGGTGGCCGAGTAGGAAGACACCTGAATGCTCCTGGAGCATGGCGTTCTGAATCTGCCTTAGCCTACGAGGGTCTCTGTCTTTGCTTCAAGTCTAATGGCAGCCATGATGTAAAGCAGCTTTCTCCTCCTCCTGTGCATGCTGCCTGTCCAATGACGTCTGCTGAACTTAGGGCTTTGTCTACAGGGATCTCTCTAGACCACGGTGGTGGTTCTTGGCAACACAGGATTAGATCCCAGTCCTTCCATGGATCTTGGGCATAGTCGTTAATGTGCTTCAGCATCCCCCTCTTTTGACACTTGTTGTTGATCTAAAATGTTTTTTCAGATCTACATTTCTGTAGGACACAACCTCTGCCACGCTAATAGCAACAGCTGCAGGTCTTTGCCAGAGGAGCCAGGTGCAGTCCTTTGTCCCTGTCTCAGTCGGTTGAGCTATGGTCATTCGCCTCTTCTGGAGTAGACCAGGAGGACCAGAACCAGTTTTAGCCATGCCCTGTCCAGGTTTTGGCAGAGACATCCTGTGCAGACAGTCTGTCACGCAGACTGACCAGCTCTTTGCCTGCTTTGACTTCAGCAAACTGGGCGGTTCCTTGTTGAAGTCTTGGTTGTCCTGCTGGATTGTGGACACCATTCAGGAGATGTGTGTTTCCCAGGTGTGCCAGTCACATCCTGGGTCTGAGCACACTCACCTGGTGGTGTGACTACCACATGGCCCCCATGGTGGGGGGTCTCTCTCGCTGCCAAATGTGCAGTAGGTCATCTTGGTCCACTTTTTTCTCACATCCATCACAATATAACAGCCAGTCCTTCCTCCGAGGTGGTCTGATGTATCAATGAGTGGCTGTGCCTGGCCTCCGTCCACCTTTGCTGTCTCCCTTGGTCAGCTTAGCAGCTTGCTATTGACCTGAGTGACCACTTTAGCTTTAGCTGTTTCATCATGGCCTTTATCCGTGTTCCTGAGGTCAGTCTTGCATTTTGCAGACTGACTGAAGCAGTCTTTCTGCCTACCAGGTCTGGTCTTTGTCCAGGGCCTCTGCCTGGTTGGTATGTTAATAAGTGTACATCTGAAAATAGTGCGTTTGTCAAAGTCATGTGGTTTGGGCTGCACCGTGGTTCCATTGTAACCTTGGTTCTCTGAGTGAAGAGACCATCTCTCCAGCTCCTCTGGCCGCACTGAGACACGTTTCGATCAGAACTATCAGTGAATTCACGCCAGCACAGGGGCTTTAAAGTTAACCTGTGGGGCATGACTGGGCAAGCCGGTGTGTCTTTGAGAAGTATCCATGTACCCTGACAAGCAGGGAGGTCATTCCCCATCCATATGAATCAGTGAGGTGTGGTAAGGTTCGGACTTCATCACAATCTGATCCACAAATATATGCACTGTACAGAGGAGCTTATTGGCCATTTGATTGGCAGCAGTTTACGGGTTATGTTTCATATCTGCATTCTTTACACATTTCATGTGTTTTTTTTTTTTTTTTTTAAGTTATTGCGATCTTACCTTTACATGAAGTCCATGCTCCGCTCCTTCTGGACAAAATATCCGTTACTTTTTTGTAGAAGTCTCCTGATCTTCCTTCGCTGCACTTAACCTGCTAACTGTATATCATAGTCTAGTTTGCTGTCACTGACTCTGCAGCCGCGGAGTCACCAGAAGCATGTCTGGGGTCAGAGCGCCCCCTGCCATGAGGCCAGAGAACTGCCTGCCTCATCTGGAACCTCTTCTCAGCCGTTTATGATGCTCAGCACACGGAACACGTTACACACATACAGTTGGTAACAAAAACACTGTACATTATGATATACATCAGCTGAACTATGGAAAGTCAGTTCCAGTATTAAATGTGTTTGAAACATGTTATTGGCGACATCCAGACAGCAGCACGTTGACACTGCAGGCAGCCAGCAGGTAGTGAGGGATTACGCAATCTAAGGTGAGGCTCAGTTCGTTGCTGCCTCACCGGCTTCTCTTCCAAACATTTGAATGGGAAATTGCGAAAATTTAGCAATTTTAAAATTTAAAAAATCACCAAAATTGATGAGGCTAAATGAAAAAATAAATGCTTTATAGTACAAATCACTGGGTAAATACAGAGGCACAGAGTTTGAAGCAGAATCCTGAGTTGACGAGAAGGTTGATAACCACTTCTGTGATACCAATGATCTCTGACTGGAGCTTTAGTTTTTGTAAAGCCGACTTACACAAAGAAAGCCTGGCTATGTCCAACTTCAGCAGAGTTTTAGGTGAAGTTTGGACATGCAGTCTGTTTGGATGAAGTTCAGTGTCTTCTGAATGGTAGACACACACTTGTTCAGCTCATAAGAAGTAAAAACATGGCATGTAATGGTTGTTCAGCTGCTGTGAAAAACACACTCGTAGAACATGACTTGCAATAATCTGGACCCAGTTTTTGACATGTCCACAGTGTTTGGAGAGACCCACAAAACGTTAGTAACAACCATCCCCACAGCTCTGTCTTTTCTCCATAAATCAGAAAGTGTGTCTCTGAACAAGCCGTTCAGGTTTGCAGCCTGTTGTGATGTCATAACCCTGTAAGCCACGCCCCCTGCTGGCTCCTCCCCCTCTGGCCTCCTCCTGGACTAGAGTACTGAAGCAGGCCTTTTGGAACAGAGCTACAACCACAAGTATTCTAAACATGGTACAGTTAATGATCTGTACAGTATTTTGAGCTGTAACTTGAGGTACACATTCAGGGACATGTGAGATTTACATTAACCTGGTTAAAAAAATAAATAAAATTAAAACAAGAGTATAAAAGGGACCTTTAAAGGTATAATGCAGTTTTAAACGAGGTGTTTTCATAAGGTCCTTCACTTTAATTAGGCTCTTATTAGTGAAAAGTCACTTTGCGACAGTCCAATTAGTTTTGGAGAGCACATTGTTCTCATTGTTCGAGTTCTCACCTCGAAAGCTCCGACAGAAGAATTGTAAAGATTTGAGTCCAAAGAAAATCAAAGTGTCTCAACCTCCGTCTCCTTCCAAGTAAAATCAGACGCAGAAAAGGATTTGAATGGTGTGTGCATGATGACGACGAGTGTTTCTGATGTAGCGTCCAGATCTGCTGCACAGATTGCTTCGCTTGAAGATAAGAGCAATATTAGCAGTGTCAGCTAGATTTTCCAGAGGCGTACTTGAGGCCGGTGGTGTGTAACGGCACATAGAGGCACATCTGAGGAAAGATAACAGATATAATGAGCAGATACAAGCAGTTCTTCTGTTTCACCAAAGATTTCACGTGAACTCACAAAAGAGAAGACATGAATCGGTTTTCTGCTACTGTTTTATTTAATTTGTTCAGTACTGGAGTTTCATGGACCAAACAATGGCACAACACTGCGTTACAGTTTCTCTCTTTGGGTACAACCGACTAACACAAACGTTAAAATTATTCCTCTACAAAATGGACTAAAGTACACACATCATACACAGTCTCTTTCTCTATCGCAGGCACCCAGCACAAAAACACACACACAGGAACACTCACACACTCGTTCTACTCACACGCTCTCGTACACACCACATGCACACACCCATTCACAATAGAATACATTCTCAGGAAAAAAACAAAACAAAAAAAAAAACAGTCAATTATAAATTGTAGAGCATTTCATATCATTTTTTTCATAACACTCATATTGAACAGCACCCACCTCGAACAAGAAGCAGGCCGTACCATAACATGTCTGTGTGGCAGCTATTTGGCAACGCCTGAACAATACCTCACCTCACAATAGGCTTTATTTTGGGAAATTACATGATGATCCAGTGACAATAAGCACGGGCCTCACTGAGTTTACTTCCAAATACATCCGTTTTGGAGGGGCGATTATCAGCCAATTACTGTAGAAATATGTTCAATTGTTTGTTTCAGTTATTTCTCATTTTGGTTTTCATACCTTATTTTGAAATGAAACCCTGAACTATGAACAGTAGGTCCCAGCTCAGCGCTATGCAGGACCATACAGGAGGTTTTCCCTGCTTCAGCCCATTAATTACAAATATTCCACGTGACCGGTGACTGTTTTCCAAAGCAAGAGCTTTTTGGTCGATTTCCTACCATCAAGCGATTGGTTTACTTTCAGTGCACTATCAAAAAATTAACTTGGGAGAGACCTGAAAAGTCCATCACCTTCGTTTTCACGTCCCATGAAAGGCCAGAGGACTTTGTTGGAACACCAAATCAAAGACAAACAGTAATTACAATTTGGAATTCATGGCGATGGTGTGGGGATTTTGACCACTACAGGCCCAGCCATATGATTATACTAGCATGCTATTGTGATTCTAGCTAACACTTAGTATGGTGCTACCCCTGGAAAGCAAAACAAAAAGTAAAAGTCACTTAGAAATTCTATGAAGTCATAAAATTTTCAGAGCTCTGTGACATTATGGGGGTTTTCTACATCCTGCAGGCAACAAATAAGACCCAGTTCAACAATGAAGAAGTTGTTTAGCTTCAGAAAACTGGAAACTGCAGTTGATCTGAAAAAAAAAACATTTCACCCCAAGATCCATTAAATGGCTTTTGATGACATCACATGATCTTCATTAGTATGTAGCCTGGGGATTAGAGATGTACAATCTGCATTTGATTTCTGATCACTTTCTGATAAACATCTTCTGACTGAACACTAAATAAAAGGTGGACGCAGCCTCTGGATATGAAAGTGAAGCCATTGCAGAAGTGTCTTAAACCTGCATTCTTTGTAACAGCCAGCAGGAGGCGACTCCCCTGGTTTCTAAAAGAAGTCAGATTGTATAGAAGTGAATGACAAAATGAACCTACTTTTCACTTGATCTCTTATTTCAGTAAACGTTTTCCGAATGAGTTTTTGGTCTCAATCAGTCGTTTCAAGATTTTTTTAATGATGTTCGCTTTCTAAGTTATGGTCCCATTTAGAGTAAAATAGATGAAAAATACAATCAGTGCAGCTGACAGAGATCGTGCTCAATGATAAGAAACTTAAAAATGTCTACTACTTGCCCCAGTGGCAAGACTGTTTTGTCATTTACTGTTTCCAAGGTCAAGAACTAACTCTGACGTGTGCTTAACTAAAAATAGACTTCAAACTTTCTTCGTGGTCAAAAAAAATAAAATTGTACCATCTACATGAAGTGATCAAACTCTACGTGTAGTCAAAGGTTTGTTTTTCATATGAAGCTGACTGGACGCCTGTTTCTGGCTGTGGGCTGATTTAAAACAGAAAACATCTCAAACTATCCTTTAAAATGACTCTTGCCTGCAAATGACGGCACACAAAGACAGTGATGATTCTAAAAAAATAAGTAGCTAATTGTTCAATGTGAGGGACAATTTATCTCAATTAAACTGCACCTATTTAAAAGTTAATCCTCATAGTGTAGAGAAAATGCAGGAAACCTAAAAACCTCTGCTTTAAAAAGTGCTCAGCAGTTTGTGTGATTTGTAGTCAATGGCAGAAACATGCAAAACCTCCGAGGTTTGATGAGCTCTCAGTTAGCACTGACACTCCCTCATCCTCCTTGTGCCCAGCACAAAGACTAGAAACGTTCTCTTTTCATGAAGGACACTGGTAACAGGAGATTAGTCTCTAAAGAAGCTTTTAGGGGGTTTTACGTATGCATTTTTATCATCTGTCAGGGAAAGCTTGCGTCTTTTGAGCAACACGACACACAGATAAAGTTCACTGGCTTGCAGCAGAAGCTACAAGTGCTACAGACACACAGACACTCAGACAGGAGATGCCTCTTATTCCGCCTGCCACTACATTCACCTTCAGACCAACACTCCAGTCACACAGTACACAACTCCAGTCGCATTGTGCTGATATAGAGTCCATCTTCAATATGTGGTATAGGATTTTATAGACATATTAGTACCAATGGGAATGACACAGAAACATTTAGTTAGGTTATAAAAGAAAAGCATAGTATACACACACTATACTTCCTATTTAATGGAAAAAGAGTGTATCTGGGTGGATGCAGATAATTAGAAACATGTATATACTGTAGTATGTATGTAATGCCATCATACAAGAAGTCTTTATGGAGACGCTTCTTCTCTCTGGCAGCTATAGGACATGTTTGAGGGATGAAGCAGGACTCGGCAGTGAAAACACACACAAACTGTAGTGGTGGTGGCAAGATTGACGCATCCTGCTGCTTACGCTGTTGTTTCTCTGTGCGCTTTAGTTTAACACTCAGGGTTTGAGAAGCTTCGTTCTAAATGTTTCCTCACCGTGTGAATGAACGGGGCCAGAAGTGAGAGATTCTGGGGTAACTGTGAGCTACAGAGTGGGAGCAATAACAGGAGACACGGCTGCCTTTCTCTCTTATTGCCGCCACATGTGGCACATTTGAAAACAACACAAAAAAGGTAACACAAACGTAACTCAGATCTTTTTTTTTTCCCCTACAGTTTAAAATATAAAATTCAAGTGCAATTAAAGTTCCAAATATTAGTTACATCACATACATTTCTCTCTAAAGTAACAATGTGTTACTTGCAGGTAGTTTATCTCATCTTGTTATACATCTTTTTTTTATTTAAAAAATTACAATATAGACTTTGCGATTACCCTAATTAAATCTTTCCCTGTGCTCCAATGGATAAAGCACCCACTGAGGTGGAATGGTTCAGATTTCCTCACTGTAACATTTCTTTCAAATCGGTTTTAATGTTAAAATGTGTTTTAAGTGCACGAGTTGTTTTCTCGTCTCTGTTTTCGTGCACATTAGGGACAATAAAGAAATCCAGTTCAGCGTACATCCATGTACTCTGTGTGGGCCGATGCATCTCTACACATCATGCATGTACAACTGCGAATGTCCACACGTTCATATCTAAAACATCTGCAATGTGAGCTTCTGCAAGTTCCGACATGTTCAGTATAAATATTACAAAACAACACAACAACACACAAAAACAAAAGAGGGCGGAAAGGCTGCAAAAAAAAGTCGTCAGAGAAGGTGCAGAAACGAGGGGAACGGCGAGAAGAACAGAACACAGACTACACCGTGTGCAGGAACAGGGTTTGACCGACTTATGGGTTTGCTGACACGGGCCTTCAGCTAATTACTGGACGTGCCACATGTGTTTACATCTACACATATAAAGCAATGCATTTTGGGAAATCTGCTGAGAATTAAATGAGAAGATCATCACAACTGTTAGACAACAGCCAGCAGCCTAAATGTGGCCTCATAACTATTGAATTTGTCATTTGGGGAAATAACACTTATTTTCTTTCTTGCTGAAGGTTAGATGAAGACATTTATTCTGCTCTCATGTCTGTCAGTTGGTAGAGAAACTACAGCCAGCAGGTGGTTAGCTTAGCTTGAAACACAACCTTCAAACAGCTCCGGTGGCTTCCTCCACAAGTACAGAAGAGCCATCTGTTAGTCAGAGGTGTGGCTGAACAGACAAACAGGTGGGATACAAGTTTTACAACACAAAACCCAGAAAAACACATAATAATGATACCTGTTTGTTTAAAATGGTCAAATTCAAAGAAAGAATATATAACTGCAACACATGGAGGGCATTTCTGCTGGATTCTAAAAACACTGGTACCGGCCTTCAGAAACCTCGTCGGTCAAACCGTGTAGGAAAAGCAACTAGAGAGGAGGCTGTTAATGATAATCATGTATTACAAGTCAGAGGGACCAAAGATGTTAAAGGCATCATGTGACAAGCAGGACTGAGGACAAACACAGGAAATGAAGCCATAGAGCGGGTATACTGATGTATAGACTGAGGCTGGGGGGAGCAGATGGGGGGGTTACATTTAGGTGGTTGGATTTGGAACGATGCAGGACGACGGGGGTCTTTAACAGGACAGTGGAGGGATCCCGTCTATTTGTACGGTCGTAGGAACCTGGTGACTTTGGAGCGCAGCAGCTTGATGAAGGAGCGAGGGAACATCTCTTTGGACTCCTGTGCCGTGTACCTGAAGTAGTTCTGGGGGTGCGCCAGCACGTCAAACAGGGCTTTTATCAGCTTCTTGTCCTGGAGGAAGGAACACAGGGACGAAGGGCGTCACCCCACTGGACCAATTATATAAAGTAAAGAAGTTTTAAACCTTTTGTTTGTGTTCTTCAGTAAAACAAAATGAACGGTTCATGTCAGTCCATGAGAAACAAAGGTCAAAGCTCTACAGACCAGGTAGTCTGATGCATCATTCAGTACCTTCAGTATCTCCTGGTGGTTCTCAGAGGCATAAAGCCGGCCGTCTCGCACTATGTCCTCTATCAGCTGCTGGTAGTCCTCTACAACACAACGGGTGTAAAGAAGGGAATCAAACACACAAAAGAATATCAAACAGCAGAAACACAATGTTCCAGGTTTAATGTAGATAACAATATAAAAATCTGTCCAAACAATAACTAGCTCCAGACTTCACAGTGAGTCGTGGGGGGTCGTATGAAACCGGGCTGAGGCTGACTCACCATCATAGGTGACATATGGAACTTGGAAGCCTTTGCCACTGTTGCCCTCGTTGGACTTAAACTGGATCCAGAGCTTGCGAGAGCGAGAGGTGAAGGCGATGGGTCGCTCGTACGTCTGACACGTCTCGTAGGTGGTGATGGAGGTGGGCAGGGCTGGAGGAACACCACAAACATGCTACAATTCACTACATCCTTCCATAGGTCTAGGACCACTTATTTCAGGCCAAAACTCAAGAAAAAAAATAGTAAGTTGGCCTTCAGGTGAAACCGTTTGGTCAAATAGAAGTGTTTTGAAATCAACCTGGTTCAGGTGCAATGAACTCCACGTGTGCATGTCATGACAGCATCATTTGTAGCAGAACAAGGAGGTGAAGTCCTTTATTATTGTACAGGCAGAGGTTAACATTTAGGAAAAGCATGATGCCAGTGGTGTACATGGTTCCCTATAGCCTTTTACAGACATGCTATAAGTTACATTTCCTGTTAAAATGACAGCGTTGTGTCAGTCAGATTCTATGTTAATGGTCCTCACTGCTTCATTCAGACATACCACCACAGTGCCCAGAGAGTAGTAGTAAGCACATGACATCTGTCAGACACAGACAGCTCATCAAGTGATGTATAATACATGATAACGCACTGTTAAATAAAAGACTAAATCCAAACTAATAGCAGCTTATCTGACTGTCCAAATGAATAACTACTAACCTATCAAACTATTACTTTATAAATAGTAAAATTGTAAAAGTCCCGACAGCTGTGATGGAACTCTAGACTCCACCTGAGCAGCTGGATGACTCAGTGTGACAGCTCACCTGTCTGAGGTGAAGCAACGTACACAGTGTGACCATTCTGATCAATCCATAACTATCAGTGTTTAAAGATTTAAAGATGTTTAAAGTTACTGCTGTTTGTCCACATGGAGGTGCTCGACTGTCCCTGTCTGGAGACGCTCATATTGATCCTGCTGCTGTCTGGTGCTTAACAAACAGTTCATGTTGTCAAGACATTCATTAGTGGTGAGTAATGAGTACAGTAATGATCAGTAAGTAATCACTACATTATGCTTTTTATTGGTGGGTCCCACTGATCTGTAAAGTCTTATTTTTATGGACATTTCAGTTTGTAATAGATGTCAACCTGCTGAACATAGTCAGTAGAGAGAAATGCAAACTTTGTCTTTTGCTCTCTGTTTTGGATCAATATCAGTGAAAAAAGTCTTCCACAAATTACTCTACACAACTCACAGTAATGTTGCTTGTGTGTGTCTGTCCGTTAACATGATGCCATGCAGTTTGTGATGCGGAGATGTGTCGAGGTAAGTAGGTCTAGGTCTAGGTAGGAAGACTGTAGCCGTGACTCTTACAGAAAAGGGTTCTCATTCAGACACAGAGTCCACACATTCAGATGTCGTTAGATGAAGGGAAAGGAGTGTATGTCTGAAAGAGGGTTATTTGTCTTGCATAGATCAGGCATTGGGAGTTTACCGCTCTTCCTCATGACCAGCACATCTCCACACTCGTCTTCAATGGGCAGGAAGATCTCTGGCACCACGATGAGTATCCGCCTCTTGTGTGGTGGATTTATAGTCCAGACACAGTCCACATTGGACGGGTAATCTCCAGGGTAGTTGGGAGACTCGATGTAGCCTGTGTACTCTCCCAGCTCACCTCCACACAGCTGGTCTGAGGACACAATAACAGGGACACTGAAGTATAAACCATTTCAGTAGGTTGAGCACTTTACTTTACAGTGCTCACATAAACCACTCTGAATGTGGATCTCAGTCATTTATTCTAGAAGTAGACTAGATAGAAATGTTGTTACTTTTGCAGTGGGAGACGTTGGTGGCACCATCGAAGTCAGTGGTGGTGTTCCCGGGGCAGGTGATGCAGTAGTTCTGCCCAAACTCAGACTGGTAGGTGCCTGCTGGGCAGCGGATGCAGCGGTGGGTGCTGGAGTTGTAGTAATGTCCAGGAGCACAGTGCACTGAGGAAACGGAGGGAGTCAGTGAACACACAGCATAACTGGATGAAGATAAACACAAAGCAGCAGGACATCCACCTGACAGATGACACAGCTGTGACATTACTCATGTCTGAATTACAGAACAGGCAAAGCACTAAACCCTGCGGACTTCATCCTCTATCTGTACAGATTTCCCCCTCATACACATCTGAACACTTCTTCATGACTGCATTTACAATGAAACCGTTGACAAATGACTTATGCCACTGCAAACGCTATTGTCGTGCACAGTTTCGAAGTGACAGATAAAAACCTCAAATTACACGTCACAAAGTCGAGCAATCTGCAGAATATTAAAGAAGCCTACAGACATGCGTGGAGCACCGTGGGGCTGATACGGACAGATCTGAGCTAAATGCTAACAAGCTAACAGCTGACAGCGCTGGCATGCTGATGATAAGGTCTCACGGTTTCCGGAGTTAGAAATGTTATTAGTTTTACAGGTACTGGGTCATAAATCAAAGCATCAGCCAAACTGAAAATTGAAGTCAGGGATTTTTAAAGTCAGGAGGTTTCCCCTGAATGTCAGAGAATGAACATACAACATATGCACTGATGGATATTATATATATTGAATATTAACTTATTTTATTGGAACTCTGTCAAAAAATACTGAACATTGTATGTAGTAACACAGAAGCAGACATCATGAGACAGCGACTGTCTGACACACAGACACAAAGCCTCACCTTTGGCCTCACAGTCCCTGAAGGAGACAGATCCTTCATATTTGGTCATGAGGCCTCCTCCACAGGTGAAGCACAGAACTCGGCCCGGTTCTGGCTGGTAGGAGCCCAGTGAACAGGGCTGGCATGGGCGGAACCCGTCAGCAGAGAACTGACCTGCTGGACACTGACCTGAAGGAGCAGACCGAGAAAACCACCGGACTTTATTCTCATTTCTCTCCCATTCCTTTATTTTCAATGCGACAAACAGTTTGAACTTCTACATGAATCATCCAGGCTCACTGTGTCTCAGTGAGGGTCAGTCAGTTAATATCTGTTCCCTCTCAAGTCTCCACAAAGAGCTCACACTGCAAAACGTTAGATCGAAGAAAGACGACATACCTTCGATCAAAACAAGTCATGCTGGCTGTTTGTCTAACAACATATTTCTTCTTACCAGGCAGAGTTTCACTTGCTTTTCTGTCCTTAATTATCATAATGAGATATTATAACTTGTTATTTGTCCATCCATCATCTCTACACCTTAATCCTCACCAGGGTCATGGGGGGCTGGAGTCTATCCCAGCTGACTCAGGGTGAAGGCAGGTTCACCTGGACAGGT